AAAAACTGAGGACTGTAAAACCAGGAATTGGATACAAGAAAGAACATGGAACTCTGAAGAAACAGAATAGAAGTAACTTGTAAAAGATTTTGCTATTTTAATGAACTTCTGTAAAGGGTCATAAGCCCATATTCTCAGCTTCTTTTGCTTCAAAGAAAGTGTAAGACAGGATAATTGTGTCAACTTTTGCCATGGCTGGGTCTTCAGTAAACTCAGGATCAATAAAAAAGAACACTGGCATATCTACTTGTTCATGTGGATTTAGTCGTTGTTCTTCAAAGCAGAAACACTGAAAAAAAAACATAGGTAACTCATGTTATAGGAACTTCTTTTATTGTTCTCATCAGAGAACATAAGGTTAACCCTAACCCTAATACTGTGATATTAGTAATAGTGCCAACACAGAGCCTTTTACATGAAATATTATTTACCTGGATTTTATTAAAGTATTGACCAGCTTCAAAGGGTACTACATTATATGTTGATACTCCTGTGATTGGTTGATCTGTTGGGTTTGTTGCTGTATAAAATGCAAGGGAAGTCTCACCTGGAGCTACCTATTGACAAAACATGTATAACCTAAATATAATATTGGTAAAGAGAGAATAGTGATATAGGGAAATACCTTGACTTCAGTTTGCTGAGGTTTGAAGTGCCACTGCATAGAGGAACTAGTATCAGCATTAAATTTAATTTTCAAAATTCTGTCCTCTTGTCTTTCCATACTTTCAATTTTTTCACCAATATCGGCCTGTTTAACTGTACCACCAAGGCCAGAAGCCTGCAAGATAACATCACAAAKAGGCTTATAAATGTTAAAATATTTTTCACCTTGGATCCAATAACATATTGGGTACRTTTTAGGRTTGTAGGGATTTTAAGCATCTACAAGAGAAATGTACTGTACTAAAASTGCCACAACCAYAGGCCGCCCAACTAAAAAACAAGTTCACATGTACCATGAAGCTTACAAACTCTTTGATGATCAAATTTAAGAAAATTTCTAGCGAATGCCCAACTATTGCTTGAGAGAAGGAAAAGAACAAATGTGTTATGTTATCTATTGCCTGTCATTGTTCTCTAGGCCAGCCACCGCTGGCCGCCCCATTGCCGGATTAGCTCACTCGTGSAAATTAATTTATTTAAAGATTAAAGATTAAAGCATGCTTTTACGCTAGTACAGTTATCGGCTTAGCAAAAGTCTGTGACAGACTAATTTTTGATGCTGCAAGGCAAGGGATCATTGAAGCAATACCACAGGTAACCCRAATTTTTCAGTTGGGCGACCTATGCCACAACCAGGACTGTACGCAACCACAACCATCAGAAAACTAGTTGCAATCTAACGGTGAACTGAGGTAGCTGAGGTACCAAAGCAAATAGAGGCAGAAAGGTTTTACAGTAGGATAGATTTGAGAGTAAAGAGAGATTTGCTGCCAAACGGTCATAATGATCACTATYAGCTTACCTGACAATAGAGCCTATACAAGGGGACGGCTGCATATGAAAAACCAAGAACAGTCACAGCAAGTGCACCAACGTACAGCACAGTTGTCTTGTTACGATTGAAATCAGAATGAACATTTGTTTTGTTAGCAAATCCACGGTAAGTCCGACGTAAAAAAAACCGTAAAGAAGTACAGTCTTTATTCACAATTGATGTCTGCTGTCTTGAATACCCAAACGTTACAAATCTCTTGACCAGCTGTTGGGGCATACATGGAAATGACTTCCAAGCAGAAAACGAAGTCCTGACTAGAGTACTTGAATAGAATTTCAGATAAAGTAATCTTGCAGAAGTGATATACATTTTCTATAAAATCTGCYTCGTTATTGTTGATAAATTGAYATAAAATTCCAAATGTTTGTAAACTGTTATTCAACCTCCATCGTCCGCCATCTTGTTTTCGAGTTAATGCGGTAGACTGGGACCAATACACAGGAGTCCCACCTTAGCATCGACATTTTATTTACATGGTTCCGTTGCATAAAYATCACAACAATTCAGGTTCAYTCAAGCGAATTGGTGTCATGGCTTAATAGTTAAGTTTAGGGAAAATATCGGGTTAGGCAATGATGGTTCAAATCTTAATACGAGTCCTTCCAAAATTTATTTTCAGTTTAAGTTTACTGTTGACTTGCAGCTCTAAATAAAAGCCATTGTGATTGGCTGTATGCAACAATAGGCTCTATTGTTTATGCCTCGTTCTTTAGAGTCACTGTGTTGAGCCAACCAATTACCAGCAATGTTCTTTGGAGCTACGACCTGACCTTTAGTTTAAGTTGACTTAAAAATTTGCTAAGTTCTTCTTCACATAATTGGGACATGAGAGCCTTCTATGTGCACATCAGCACCGCACATGCACAACCATATATGGAAGTCGTACAACAGACCTTCTCCATTTTTATCCAAGTTGCAATAAAAATAGTCTCTTTCAACAGCTGCGACTTCCGGTCTCATCAAATTTCCTCCCCAAAGAGACTAAAATAAAAAGTGCATGACAATATTTAGAGTTCAACATATTTTGACAAYTTGTTGGATTCCCTGAGATCTGTGGACAAGTATATTAAACAATTAGAATTTGTCTGATATTTAATCAAACATGTAGCTATATTGATATTTACATATATACAGGGTTATTGGACAACTACTTACACTATCTGCTCTTGCCTATCGTTTATGTACATAGGTTTGTGAAAAAATGTTGAAAATTATAATAATTTGTGGTCACTGCTTGTRCTAACTGGAACAGAAGATATGAATTCTAATTTTGCACTTGATAATCTACATTGTACTGCAATGCTATAAAAAGGACTCAAAATAAAGAAAAATGAAAAAAACAGCAATCATCATCTGGTCCCTATTGAATATGCCATCACAAATAAAAACAAGAGKTTTAGTAGATTTGAGAAATATGAAATATTTGTGTAGAGTGCACATCACATAAGTGTGAAACAATTCTTAACTAATTAGTAMCTAATAAGATTTAGTTATCTACTAAGAATTTAGTGAGGCGTAAACAAAGAAAACTTCTTTTTTGGTATTGTGTTAATGCCCTTCCTAGTGAATTCTTAGTTAGTTGATAACTAAATCTTATAAGTTGTTGATTGTTAAGAATTGTTTCATGCTTATTTGGCATGCACTCTATCTATATGTAAAATAATGTACATGTAAACTTTTATGCCATGAAAATAAAACACAAATTTTCTCTGAATATACATGCCTTTTTCCTGTTCAAAGGGAATAACCTCTGACTAAAGAAGCATTAAAAAATCTTGAAATTATAATAACCCCACAAATTTGAATTTTCTCCAATTTAGGGCTAACACTGTGGTTCCAAAAAGACAAAGTTTGAGCCTTTTTGGAATACAGGCTTACCCTCACACTAGCTTATTGTTCTTCATCTTCTTCTCACTGACCAGTTGTCAAGCAGTAGTACCTTGCTTTGAATAGGAAATAGGCATGAGCTGCATATGGAACATATTTTGAATGGCCAGTCATTCTCGTAAACACCATATACTACCGTAAGTTGTTACACCATGTTCCTATTAATTATTATCASAGTTTCACAGATTTAGTGCATTTCCTTTTTATATCAGTAAGTACAAATCTGGGATCTCCTGTTCTTGACTTTTGTGGTCTATAGTTCTATACTTTTATAAATAATTCATAAGCTCATGTTTGTTTTCAATGAATGTCTTCCAATGCAAAGCAAATCTGTTCTTCTCTTTTATTCCAGTCTTGTTTTTTCATGTCTGTGCTACTGTCAGCATTCTCTTGGAGGWACTAAATGAACCAAAATTATACATTGAAAATAAGGATTTGTGATAAAASCAACATAGCTCRAGTTTGGGCCGGAGAAACACAGAAGGGAATGCCCTGCCGCAGCATTAATAAATTTGAAAAACATCTCATTRGATATGCAGGATTAACTGCRTGTTACATACTGTAATAGGATTCTCACAATCATTGTAAACACACAGAATTGGTCCTAAAATACAGCGCAGTAGCCTAGAACATACCTTTTCATGGGTATTTGTCAATACATACAAATGAACTAAATAATGCAAAAAAAAAAAAAACAATGAGACAAAAATCAATCATACTTACTTCTCCTTGCTGTTTTTCTATGTCATCTTGAGTTAGATTTAAATGTGACACTGAATTTTGAAGAATAGCTACCACTCTATTGATGTGTCTGAAGATATAAACAGTGAAGTTATAATCGTACGTCCTCTCAGTACGTTAAATTGTACTCCAACTTTTGACACAACTTAACAGTATATGCAACAACAACAGTATATAAATTGATTTTAATGAAGGAAGAGAGGGCAAACAGCACATATGTATATCACATAATATTAGGGAAAATTAAATTAAATAGAAGATGGTAAAGAAAGATCTGCTCTTAAATACATTTGCACTACTTGACCTTAAAACAATCTTGGACTTTTTTAAGGAGTTCAATTATTGACCTACTTTTGAAGTTTATCTGCTGTCTCAAGTCTTTGTCTTTTTTGCTTTTCCATCATAACTCTCAATGTTTCTCTAGCCTAAAAAATAGAGGATATTACATCTTACTGAGAATTAGAATTAGGTGAATTACATTTCCTTCAATGTTCCATGTCATAAACATGTTTGTTTAAACTATTTGCTCTCCTCCTTTTCTTTATACATAAAATATACATTATTACAGCATCATTGCAATCRCATTCATACCTGGTGAGGACGTAGCTCATTTATTAAGTGATGCATATTGATGAATAAGAGGCGAATGTCTTCAAGTTTAGCATCTCTCTGTAATCAAGTCACATTTATCATCAATACCTGAAGACCTTCATTTTTCCTACAGTTTCTGTGAACTTATTAAACATTTTAGGTGCAATACATGTAGGTTCCTGGTCTATTTCTTTATTTTCATTGAAATGTTGAATTGCTATTGTAACAGCACCTTGCTTTACCTTTTGTGATGATGGCGATCTGATCAAAACATCCAGTAATTCCAGAAAATTTATCAAAATAGAATGGTTAAGCTTCTTTAATTCTGATATTCTATCTAGAAAAATAATACAAAAATAAAACTTTTGAACATCTTTCCAAAAATTTGCTACTTCTMCTGTCACCAGTCAATGAGGACTGCTGTAGATACATGTAGAGGCAATCTTAATTCTGAGCCATACCAGTCCATTCAGTCCATTCATCACTGTCACTGATTGAGTGAGATAACCAAAACATTGAGAGATTATATYAAACAATGTCTCTTGTTCTATTGACATGTTTGTTTTTTGTATTGCCTATCTTTCTTTGTTATTTCACTGAATCAAAATATATTTTCTAGCAGTAATATATTACTGCCATTTATATTTATTTAAATTTAAATTTATTTAGCTTTGCCCCTAGTATGGGCAGGGACAYAACAACAGCGTGGGCCAATTACTGCGGACCCTGTACTCTCACACTCACTACCTCTACATTAAATATTTCAGCACACAACACTCCTCACATGTTGATCTTTACTTAGGGAGGAAAACCGTAGGACCCGGAGAAAAACCCTCGTGGTAAGAGAGACAACAACACATCAAACAAACTCAAACTCATATATGGTTCATGCTCGGGAATCGAACCCGGACCACAGCGGTGAGAGGCCAGCAGCTGAAAGGGCAACTGAACCCCCAAATTGACCCATTTTGGGAAAAAAGTACATCAAATGSCGAAACCAAAAAACTGCTTTTTGGTACCCGAAGAGCTTTTTCGATATAGAAATTTGACATTTGAAATACCCGCCAGCGCCTCTCTGCTGCCCGCTATCTTGCCATTGTAGCGCGGGCTCAAGTTTCCTTTGAAATTCCGAGGTTTGTTAATATCCCTTTGATACACCTGAGCATTTTTAGCTAACAATAACAAGACAAAAGAACAGTGCCATCTCTATGAAGTCTTTGACAAGCAAACCTTAGAGCTCTGTGATTCAGAAAAAAAGCCAAGAGTTCGGAAATGCTGAATGGATTATAACATTCATACCTAATCTTCTGTGCAAAGGATAAAGACGTGTTATCCCTTGCGTTTCTAGCGTCTGGATAATAGAATCATCACTCTAAAAAAGAAAATTCACTCATTCAGGTCGTAGATAACAAATGTAAATATCCACTAATACCACGTTGAAGGAGGCTATACAATCCTTAGCTCTAATTATCACATTCTAAACACTTCATCTTACTAACTAAATACCCATAAAGTTCATCGTATATCCCATACAAGTATGCCCCATACTTCATAGGATGATCTTATGAACTGCATGGATGGAAGTTATGATTTCTGTGTCATCAATGGCCAAATTTTCTTAGCTGGAATCTCTAATTGATACCTCAAACACTGCTCCAAACACGGTGTAACTGCCTTCAATAGGTGGAGGAGGTTTAGGAGTGTTCCTTTGGTCAACATTCTCGTCAGTATAAAGTGTATAATACTGATTCGGARGGAGAGGAAAAGGAGAAACCCCTTCGCCCGCCATCTTGAATGAGATAACGACTGCAAAGAGTTATGGGCAGGGACAGGGAGCCCAAATCATATGATCTTCCACAAAGCACCTTTATATTAATAAAATATATCCTTGTTGAACAGCAGGAATGTATTAGTTTTTATGTCTTTAAGCGATTCCTCAGCACAGCCGGCCATTAAGATAAATACATAAAGAGCTATTCAAATGCTCTGCCGACTTTGTGACGTCATAACGTCAAAGCTCTGAATCTTTGCTCGAGGTGGTGCCAACCTAATTAGTTCGTAGGAAACAAAGCAAAAAAAATCACCTTTAATCTCATATGTACCTAATTGAAGAAACGTAGCCGGGTTCCGAAAGGTTACATCATCAAAGCTAAGAACCGAAGAGACCATGGGAAAGCGTATATCATAACTTATACTTATTATATAATCACATGTTCCCCACCCTCTGTACGGCTCTTAGACTTTGAGGATTGTAAGTCTTTTGGAACCCATGTACGATTTTTCAACATTATGACAGTGTTTCAGAGTCATATCAAAAGATTGCCTGCACCGGATCGTAAAATAAACTTTGGTGTCACACAGAATATGAATGTCTTCTGTAAAGTTAAGAACCATTTTTCTCCAACACTAAGTTGTGGTTATCGTTTTGTGTGCAGTTGGCTTTTAAGAGAACTTTTTTTTTCGCTGGTCTTTTTTCAACAACCAAGAAATTAGTAAAGATAACTGAGGTCGGTGGCGGATCCAGGGGGGTTCCATGGGTTCCTAGGACCCCCCCATCGAGCATAAAAAAATGACAAATGAAATGTGGATGTCTTTACATTTGCTACAGTTCGAGAGGCACAGTAAAAAAGTTCGTTTTAGGAAAATGCGAAAACAAAGTGGAACCCCCTTTTGAAAAATCCTGGATCCGCCATGCACWGGAGGTATCTTGTTTCTAACRTTGCCAAGGATAACTGACRAAAGTAATTTATTGTTATATCCAGGTCAGTCTGCATTCGCCCTAAAATAGCAATGGTAGACGAGGAGGAAMATGGAAAATTCGTCGTWAAAATMTTGATATCTTCATTCTTGATATATTTCTTGRTTTTGTGTAAAAAGCTTTTCCTTCGCCATTGTTTCAACAAGTTGGTCGATTTTGAAGGTTTGGCGGCGGTGTATCATTAWCCATTACTCATTCGTTACTATAGTTAATATCACTGCTATGATTAGAACAAGATTTTGTGGTTACTCCGTGTGGCCAGAAAGACGGATAATTACATCATCAAGCGAAACTCTCTTTAGATAACAAAATCTGAATATTTCCTTATGTGTAARTCTCTTATGACCTTGTACTCTACGATATGCTTACATTAGAGTCCTASGCTGTTTTGATTATTGTAGTTTCATGTGTGATACACTCTCTTATAGTCAAGACCACCATCGTCTGAGTTTTCAGTTTCAGTGACTAGAAATTTGATGGAAACAGAGTGTAGAATTATAATATGACTGACTTTATATAGTGACTCGAAACACTAGCTATGTAATTGAACTTAGTTGTGTGCGGGACAAGACTGAAGCTGTAGTCTTGCTCGTATTAGAAAGTACAGGCCAAAGTACGGAGAGTACTTGAGCTTGGAACTCATAGGGAAAGTACATTTATTATGCGGAGGAGGTGGGKAATGAAGATGTTGTGGAAGGGCTCCGAAAAAAAAATAGAACATCAAAAGGGGATCTTGAAATGAAACGAATAATGAATATTTTTTTCAGTGTTAATTCCTACTCGGATTATGATTGGTCGAGTCAWATAACACATTAAGCACAATCCGCGCATCAAAAAACAACGACGAGAAAGAATGAAAACGGCCGCGGTGTGTCAACATTGTTTAACATAACAGAAAAAAATGAAACATAGAAGCAAAAAGACAAAAATTYACATGAATTCAATTTTGTCACGAGGGTACGGGTTGCCATCGTTTGGTAAGAACTTATTTATTATACATGTATATAGCAGATATTGAGTTCTCCTTACATATAGCGTGACAGTCCTCAGTCCTCATTTCTGACGTAAGATGCGAATACTAAATCTTAAAGTATTGCATGTTTCTGAAGTTTAATTCACTCAATTTGAAAAAAAACTTAAGTACAATAGTGTAAGTGTAGTGTAGAAACGTATTTGTGAACGAAAACATGGCTTTTAATGCGTTTTAACTGTTTTCAACAGTGTCGTGATGACAGGCATGTTTTCGCATGTTTTTGCTGGAGCTCACGCTACCAAAAAAAAAGAATTTGATGTAGAACTACTGTTTAGATAGTGCCCAACCCATACCGTGATAACGTATTGATAAAATACCTATAGCAGCAGAATGCCCTTGAGCACTAGGCTGAATTGTTCCAGAAATTACATTATTTTCTGTCCAATAGGTGTAGAAAATCCGCGTTTACGTTTCCCCATACAATGAAGTGAAGATATTTTTAGCATAGTACTAATCATCGCCATCTAAATATGGACGGATTTGAGAGAAAAGTATATTATGTCCATGACGTCATCACGCTGATGAAATATATTACCAGGAAGCTTACCATGACGTGCCACATACGTGTAGATAGCGGATATTACTTATGGTTAGCTAGTACATGATAATTATGTAGTACAAAGTGGACAAGGAAGAAATCTAGCTTAGAACAAAGGATTGGATTCTTACCCTTACAGATAAAACCTGACCCTCATGTGCTTACTAATGACCCCAAGTAGCTTTGATAAAGTGGTTCTCACGACTCATAGCGTCCATTAATAAATGACAGACTATTAGAATATTGAACATTATTACTGACATATCCTTGACCAACTCATAAAACTATTACAATGATATTTTGCAAAACATGCCAGTGTTTTTTGCCCGCACAAAAACAGAGCTCCATTATCTATTGTGCGCGACATATACTCGAGATCCTGCGATTAGAMGTGAAATTGTTAATATTGCATGGTATCATATGGCTAAACCAAGACAACAGTCAAGCGAAGGTCAAACAGTGCTTAAAATCTGGCTTAAACTGTTTTTGCTTAACAATGTCAGCCCGCTGGATCTTACAATGGCTGTAATAATAATCCACGTGATGCTTGCTGTAATAATGRCGGCTACTTTCAGAGTCTACGGCTCAATAACCACAACGTCTACCAACGAAGGTACGTTAACGTGATTTGTACAAGACGAACAATTAAAAAAAACAATTTTATAGCCTCTTCCAAGAAGGGACCGCAACAGGATGTTATGAAGTTACGGTTGTTTTGCAGGCTATTGTGGTTGTGGAGTCTTTGAATGCTTTCTTCAAAGAGTATCCACAATATGATTCCCTACAACAATGAAGGTTTAACGAATGAAAAACCAATTATTGTCTAGTGAAAATAGCTTCTAATTACTGTAAGCGAAAGTTGATGTGAATTTAATAGTCATTTTCAAAAGTCACGACACACTTTAATATTTGAAAATAATGTGACATAAACTATATTCTGTATATTCCATTGGTGAGCTTTCATGACATGTCAGTAATATGTGTTTGTTTATTGATTGGATTTGTACAATATTGAGAATACATTYATGAGCGTGACACTGCAATGTAGGTATTTATACCACCTACATTGATTTGAAAAGCTGAAGCGATAACTGGTCCTTTTACGATAATGCGCGTCCCTGACTTTGTTATCGAGTTTCAGAAAACTAAAGGTTTCGATACTACACTAAATACATCAAATGGAATTCCGCTGTTACGAAGTGACAATGACATCCGACTTAATTTACTGAACTATTCTGTGAAACCTAGTCTTTATCACCTCATTTACACATACTTAATGAACTCTGCCACTATCACGTGACTATTAGAACTCGCCACCTCAAAACAGTGGTATAAAATAATTTAAACGCTACACTCTAGTCTAGATTAAACACAGTTGTACCGTGAGATATGTTCCATTGATATCTACTATTAGACAATAAATACCGACTTATAAATCCCACTTTTATGATTTTGCGTTCTGGTTCAAGTGCAGTGTCTACTCTACTGATATTATATCAGAAAATTTAATTTTCCTGGATGTTTTGACAACCTYGCGTAGCTTTCACTATCTTTTGCGCCGGCTAATCCCTCAGATTTCACTTGAAAAAAAATCTGATAACAATTTTATGAGGAATTGTATGAGTAACCCGTGTTTGATGCCGATAGACTTGGTTGATAACTGCAAAACTCACCGCCTGACGACCATTGGCGCGACTCCTTTCAGCGCGGGTCGACCGCAGGTCACGATATCAAAATTCCTGAGCCATCAAACTCTTACATATTTAATTCAGTTATAGAGCCGGCGAAATTAATCCATGAAACCCAAAACATAAAAAATAGTATTAAAATATGCCATATGTTTTTATTCTCTAGTTTGGCATCATGCTATTTAGTAGTAATCATGTGTTTAAATGGGCTTAGAGTGGTTTTCATTAACCCGTGAAACACACTTTAGCGTATTTATCGCTATTACACTTTGGCTCTTTTGTTTTTTATTGTCTCTACGCGACTATTACGATCTATTAAACTCTAATTATTACACTTTGTTTCAMGGGTTTAWGAAAACCACTYTAAATGGGAATATACGAAGTTCCCACAATCCCAATCTCACTTCAATCCACCTTTTGCTGAAGGTCAACTGAAAGGTAAAACCATCAAAACATACTGACAACAAAACGAGAAGAAGTAAGGACACTTTGACCGATAGTCGAAAATAGTTTCAGATCAAAATCTAATACAAGACATTAATTTCACGGTCGTCGGGTACTTAARTGTTCTAATGTCTTCTAATAGTCAACATTTTAATAAAGACACAAAGAAGACTATTAGAGCAGTAGCTGTGAAGACCGACAGGGTTTAAATCCTGAAAGAGGAAGTTTTAATTGCAATATAAATCTTTATTTCACACATAAAAACAAATATGTTTAGAATATGATACACTAGGAACTGATCAGTAGAAAGTATACATGAATCAGATGAATARTGGTCAAGGAGCTTGATAGCGTTCGTGTTGACCACTGCCTATCATATTGGATAAATTAATTTGACTCTAATGAATACGCCCATGTTAATCAACTGCTAAATTGTTTATAAGCTTTTTTAAAAGGCTTTACATATTACATTATTACATAATAGTGAATTTATCYGCCATTTTTATTGTGTATCGAGATCTAGTAGATTTATAGTTGGCTGCCTTTTTACTTGTAATATAGAAGGGGATAAGATGATCTTTTCTTAAATAGATTTGGCAGGTTTTCTGGAATGAATTGACTTCTACAATAGGTCGAACTACAAGTATATTTGAATRTTTAGAAACCATAGTTATCATTGAATAGTATTAAAAAGTGGCAAAATAATAAAATGGCTTAGAAAAATAAGGACGGCAATAGTGATTTGCCATGTCAAATCTATATCACTAACTGCAGAATGATACTGAAAGTTCATCATTCCGTCCTACCTGGATGCTTTTTAAATAAATATATCTTATTTTTCTTGAAAAAATAAAATCTTGAAGCATGAGGAAAGAAAGATAAAGGCAAATGAAATAAAGAAAACAACTTTGAAACAAAGTAAAATTGTCACTACACTCACGAGCACTCAAATTGGTTAAAACGAGTGACTTTAATTGAACTGCGCTCTCTCACTTTCGACAGAATAATAGTATTACGCAGAGCTTATGGCTTAGGAAAGAATTAGCTGGATGTAGGACTCCAATACAACAAGAAACAAAGCATTAAAAAAGATGAGAGGAAGAAGTTAAAAAATGAAATAACAATGAGGATATACGGAGGAAATGCTATTCGGCCAAACGGGGATAAGTTTCAAAAACACCTTTTTTACTAATTAAAAAGTTCAAATTTGTTATTCTCGGTGAACGTCATGAATAATCTAATCCAAACATTCTATTATTAAAGACGTGACATCATAAGCCCCGTTAAAATCACTGGTAATTGTSATGATAATAATAAACCGAACCTTATATCCGATCAAACGAGGGAAAAAGAGTTCGTGTTTGGATTTAAATATGAAATTCCATCAATTCTTCTGGTTCTTCTTGGTAATTGCTGTGTGTTTAAGAATACAAGCTACAACTGCTGAAGGTATTTCCTAACTTCATCATATACTATCATTCATGGAAATTAATTTATCTTTGGTTTCCTTGCTAACTTATTCGCTATGCATGTTATGGTGGATGTTTTACTTTAGTATTTCCGTTTGTTATCAGACAAKCGTTAATGAACACTAGGAAGTCAATACAATTTTTTCATAATTTGTGTGTCAGAATTGATAGACTGAATTCGTGTTTTACGCGGAAACAAGTTAATTGTTACGTGGTTTCTCTATGAGGTCTGTGTTTCCATTTACATTATCGCGTTACTGGTTTCATCAATGATACTTCAAAAGTTCATCTTCAGTAAAAGCAACTTTTTCATTTGAAGTTCGTATTTTGCCAGTATTCATAGAGACATAAATTACATTTGCGCGGTCTTTGAACTGGTATTTTGAAAATAACTGTTTTGGCAGATGCCTTGAAAGAGATATGAATTAAAAAAGAGAAATAATTTGAACTTCGTGTTATCTGGTTGGTTATATTCTTTGTGGGGTATTTGGTTTTGACTAGCACGGAGCTGAAGGTACAAATGAAATAGAAAGGAACTTCAAGGTGGAATTTGCCTTCTTTTAYTCATTTCTTTTTTGTTTTGCTTGGTTTTGTTTTTGTTTACTTCGAGAGGAAAACTGAAATGGGACCTCAGACACTCGATTAAGGAACTTTGTCAATTAATACTCAAAACAAACTCATTCAGTTACSTCTGACATAAAATTGTATCRTACTGAAATCTAAATGGCGCTGTTAACATCAACGACTCCTTCGTACGTCATAATCTAAAAAATTCCAAAATTGACGTTATGAATGATGTCACCGAATTCCWTGAGTTGGTTGTGGAAACCAATTTTAATTTGAGAGTAGCCATTACGTAAAGAGACATATTGAGCCAATTTCATTAATTTTGTGATGCAGTAATAGCACATCAATTACAATTACATAGTCTATGTTTTAAAATATACAATATTAGATCTTCATTTCATTATTTTCATGAAATATSCAGATGCTATCAAAGCCGTCTACAAATTGCCAAACCTCGTCACCAGGCCCTTATACTTTTGTTTCGGATCCCTTCTGCCMCTAAACGAAGGGTTTTGGACAGAAGCTGCAATATTGACCAAAACTTGCATTTTAAGCGTTATCCACGCTAAGTCGAACATTTTATATTCACATGTATTCGTATTATGAAATTATGGATATGTGGATTCGTGTGCTATGCTTGTTACTGATAAGTTACAAATTGACTATTCTGTCAACTTATTAATAAACTGGTTTAAAGGAAAAACTCTCCAAGCAGAAAAAAATCATATAGAACATTACAAAGTCAAGGAGTCAAGTAACAACCGTCGGAATATTATTAAAGTTTTAGCATTCTATTCACCTGTTTTCTAACTGAAATTTGTTATAGAATGTGTTGACCTGCTGCCAAATAGATGTGAAATAAAGTACTGTTCGTATCCAGCTGGAGTTACTCAGTGTCAGAAGACATGCAATATCTGTAAGTACCCTCGTTATATTAGACTGTAAGTACCCTCGTTATATTAGACTGTAACTACCCTCGTTATATTAGACTGTAACTACCCTCGTTATATTAGACTGTAACTACCCTCGTTATATTAGACTGTAAGTACCCTCGTTATATTAGACTGTAAGTACCCTTGTTATATTAGACTGTAACTACCCTCGTTATATTAGACTGTAACTACCCTCGTTATATTAGACTGTAAGTACCCTCGTTATATTAGACTGTAACTACCCTCGTTATATTAGACTGTAAGTACACTCGTTATATTAGACTGTAAGTACCCTCGTTATATCAGACAATCATTAGCTTGCCCAACTATGGATGCACCCTCCTGTAAAAGCAAAATTAAATGTCAGCTTTTAATAGAAAACTAAAGTCCAAATTTGACATAAATTTTACAAGCGCTTTGGATTGCAAATTTATGGCCTTCTTGGAAGAACACAATAGCACATTGTCTACCATCTCAGCGCAAATGACCCGATTTTCCAGGAAGCTATGATTGAATTACAGTAAACAACCACAAGAACTTTGTTTTGAAAGTCTGGCAAAAAGTTCTTTCTTTAAAGAAAGTGTGATAATTTCGACAAAACAGGTTCTTTATTCGGTACTTAATTGCTTTTTGGGGACTGCTGATAGCTGGCTTGGACTAATATTACAACATTGTGACTTTCAATAGTCTCCTTCACGGTTACGTGCGCCATCTTGAAAGGTAGCCGTGCCTTTACATCGAAGCGAGACAACCGTCGAGCGTGTAATGATAGAAACATGTGAATAATTGTCTGTAGGTCTGAAAGAAGGTCGTCTCGCTTCGATTCAAAGGCACGGCTGCCTTTCAAGGTGGGTCAGGGAACCGTGAAGAAGAATATTAAGAAATAAGCAATCGACCCAGTTTGAGCCAAGAATGCATAATACTATAAAAAAAAAGCTTGGAATGATATATTGAATTTGATAAATAGAAGGACAGCTCTAAGAATTGCGGCCTCATTATTAACAAAGGAAAAATGCACCCCACCATCTACTGTCTGTATTGAAAAATTCACCCCCATGTCTAAGCACTGTCCCCACCTGGCTAAAGTTAATGAACGGTCGTCCCTAATGCTAATACGTATCTCTAAGATGCTATTTTCCTCATTTTTCAGGTACTCCTGTTACCCCTACTAATTCAACATTCAACAATGGATCAACAACTACAGCAAAGCTAACCACAACTATAACAAATACAGCGACTATCAATAGCACAATCAGCACTTCCTCTGTTCGAAACTCTACACTTTCCACGAACTCAGGCTCTCATTCTAGTAAAAGATCAGTGCTTTTTGTGCCTGTAATGCTACTATGGTTACTTTATAGACATTTAACAGAGTTAGGTAGCTGAATCATGTGACGTCATCAAAATGAGCAGCATCGATGATGTGCGGTAGGAGTTGAATAGCTGACATTTCCACGAATTCACTTATGCTTCATAAGATTTAGTGATTAGAAAACAGTTTTTAATGTGCTAAATGGGTCCTATCTCGATAAAGCTCTCACATTATGGTGCTATAATAGCTCACAATATCAGTAACATAAACTGCAACAGTAACATAAACTGCCGATAAAAACTTTGTATCTGACTGCTTACAATTTCTCTGTAACTGACCTCCCAGTAGTTCTTCCTCCCAATGCTATGCCGGGTTCTGTTTGCAGCACGCAATTACAATGTGCATCCAAGCCATGAAATCGTGAAGTCGTTTTATTTTCTAGCATTAATTTTTGCTCAGCGACACATCTTAAACAAGTATTTTTCGCTGGAAATGCAAACAGGAAACAAAGACAGACATTGCATTTCTGAGCGGCAAATAAAGAGCGTGTTAGACAGCACCAATATGTATTTTCAAAATTATGTAAAGCAATTGAAAAAATGTCTAATTGTGTTATGCCCAGAATTTTATTTAAAAGTTGTATTTCAAACCTTAAAGTAAATTTTATAATAAATTTATATGAGCGAATTCTGCGATCGTGTAGTTTTTTGTCTTACCGGCTCCTATATCATTTGGAAAT